GTGTCCATCTCCATCTCTTCTGATTGGTTTTAGTTTGAAGGCAGTTTTGTTAGAAATTAGAATGGCTACACCCGCTTGTTTCTTAGGTCTGTTTGCTTGAAAAACCTTTTCCCAACCCTTTACTCTGAGTAGATGTCTGTCTTTGTGGTTGAGGTGTGTTTCTCATAAACAGCAGAATGTTGGATCCTGTTTTCGTATCCAATCTCTTAGCCTGTGCCTTTGTATAGGTGAATTGAGTCCATTGATATTAAGTGATATTAATGACCAGTGGTTGTTCACTCTGGTTATTATTTTTTTTCCTTTTTTGGTGGTAGTTTATGTGTTTCCCTTCTTTGAGTTGTGCTGGTGAAGGGTTGCTAGGTTTCTGAGTTATTGTGGTCATTGTTGGATTCCTTGGTTTGTGATTTTCCTTCTATTACTTTCTGTAAGGCTGGATTTGTGGCTACGTATTGTTTAAATTTGTTTTTATCCTGGAAAATTTTGTTTTCTCCATTGATGTTGAATGAAAGCTTGGCTGAGTATAGTGGTCTGGGCTTGCATCCATGGTCTCTTAGTTTCTGCAGCACATCTATCCAAGATCTTCTGGCTTTCATGGTTTCCATAGAGAAGTCAGGTGTAAGTCTGATTGGTTTACCATTATAAGTTACTTGACCTTTTTCCTTTGCAGCTCTTAATATTCTTTCTTTATTCTGTATGTTTTGTGTTTTGATTATTATATGGTGAGGGGATTTTTTTTTTTGATTTAGTCTATTAGGTGTTCTGTATGCTTCTTGAACCTTCATAGGAATATCTTTCTTTAGGTTGGGAAAGTTTTCTTCTATTATTTTGTTGAATATATTTTCTGGACCTTTGAGCTGTAATTCTTCTCCTTCTTCTAACCCTATAATTCTTAGGTTTGGTCTTTTTATTGTGTCCCATATTTCCTGAATGTTTTGTGATGAGAATTTGTTGGATTTGCTATTTTCTTTGATCAGTGCATTTATTTTCTCTATGGTGTCTTCAGCAGCTGAGATGCTTTCTTCTATCTCTTGTATTCTGCTGGTTATGCTTGTTTCTGTAGTCTCTGTTCATTTACCTAGATTTTTCATATCCAGCTGGCCCTCGGTTTGTGTTTTCTTCATTACCTCCATTTCAGTTTTCAAGTCTTGAACTGTTTCCATTATCTCTTTGATTGTTTTTTCTTGGTTTCCTAGGGTATCTTTTCCGGATTTACTCATATCTTCAAACTTTTTGTTATTCTTCTCATCCATTTTGTTAAGGGAGTTTTTCATATCCTGTTTAAGGGAGTCTATCACTTTCATAATGTCAATTTTTTCTACATCTTCTGGATTAGGGTGTTCAGGTCTTCCTGTTGTATGTTCGCTAAGTTCTGGTGTTACCATGTTGTTTTTCAGATTGTTGGAGGAATTCTTGCATTGACGCGTGCCCATCTCTTCCTTCAAATGCTCTCAGGTGGATCTTCTGGTACAGGATCAGGGCCCCTTGCTGTCCAGGGACCTTGCAGACAAAAGGTCTAGTTTGGTGCCTGCAAGCTTAGTGAAACAAAGGAACTCCTGCCCGGTTGTACTCATCACCAGGTCCTGGCCCAAATACAGGCTGAGCTGGGGGTGGGGGGGTCTTATGTCCCCGGAGAAGGTACGGGGCGCCTGTGCAGAAGCTGGGATGGGATAGGAAGAGAGAGTCAGTAGCTGGGGAGAGAAGCCCCTGCAGAATGACCAGAAAGATTAGGGGGTTGAGGAATGTCGGCTCTCCATTTCTGGGGCAGAATGGGGCTTCTGCCACCAGTCCGGAACACACTCACCCCTCCGTTGGATATTCTGGTACAGGATCAGGACCCCTTGCTGGCCAGAGAGCTAGCAGACAAAACCTAGAATAGAACTTTTGAAAATCTCACAGAACTGTAAACTTTGAACATTGGGGTACCATCAATGCATGATGATTTTGTGAGATAAACAGAAAAGTAAAAGTGATTGAAAAGCATCACATGGTGAAGTGGAGGAAAGTAGGATCGAACTTCTATGTAGTGACTTCTATATACTTAGCATTACTTAGAAAATGTTTTGTATTATAATGTGCACTACTGACTGTAATGACTATCTGTGTTTTCTACAGAGGTCGACAGTCACACTCTATCTTCTCATGACAGTAGAGAGGACAGATGTTCCCCAGGCACATACGTGGTACTCATCAAGCAGAGTCCCAGTTTTTCCTTTTACCGGCTTTGAGATATCTGCTCCACTCTTAACCTTCCACCTCTTTTCTCCATTAGAATGATAATGTTGTATGTGCGAAATAAAATAGTGTTTATAACATGCATGCACAGACAATTCTAGGATTTTTTAAATTTATTTAAGAATTTTTTTAATGCATCTTATAATTTTATGAGCAATTCTTGGCCAGATTTAATTTGAGGGTGGTGAGATCTCTTAGAACTTTCTGTGCTTTTGTCATGGTATATGAATTTCCTGCATTTCACATAAGAAGTCAGTCAGATTGTACTCATACTCATATGTGTGTATGAGGGGGATTGGTGTGTACATGACTCTTCAACGATGGCAGTAATTAATACGAGCTCATGACAAGGACATTTCATTAGCAACAAGTGTGTTTATTAAACACTGACTAAGTAAAAGTTTTGTTTGAGAAATAGAGAAAAGTGATTTTTAAAGTTTGGTCCCGCAAAGGATCCATGAGGTATAAAGATTGATAGTTCAATTTCAAAAATAATCCTAATTTAAAATAACGCTTAATAATCTCTAATACAAAGAACTCCAAAGTGGAATCAGAGAAATTTAAAATTATTAAAGTAAACTGTAATATGACTTTCTTTGGTAGACCAGGAGGGCTACAAAGTTTGATATTTTGATCACATGTATAAAAGTTCCCCAGGGCTTAGGATAGGGTTCTTTGCATAAAGTGCTTGTGTAAGATGAGAACTTGAATTATGATCCCCAGCACCCATTTGAAAACCCCTCACTCCTGCAGTCTCAGTGCTAAGAAGCAGAGACAGATGGACCCCTGGGGTCTACTGGCAAGCCATTCTAGCTGAAACCCAGAGCCCCCAGGACCAGTGAAAGACACTGTCTCAGAAAATAAGATCCTACTGAGGAGTACATCACAATGTCAGCCTCTGACCTCAACACATCACCCTCACAGGAAAGCTCACCTGCTCCTGACACACATATACATCACACATCTCTGTCACACACACACACATATACCCACAGTTCCCCATTTCATTCACCAATATTTTCCATCATTTGAATAGGAGATTGATTTTATTATGTATTAATTATACAAAGGAACAGATTTTATTATAACGTTTGCATACACTCATGAAATGTGCTCTGATGATAGTCACATACACCTGGTAACCTTTCTAGGTTTCCTCTCTCCTTCCCTTTTTACACCCTAAGTACTCCCACTTCTGTGTCCACACACCTTCTCCCAAAATTATACACTTATAAAAAGGGGGGGATACTTGTCTTTTGGGTCTGACTTATTTTGTTTGGCACAATAATATTAAATTCCATCTAGTTTCATATAGACCACATGATTTGGTTCTTCTTTATGGCTAGTTAAAACTCTGGTGTGGATATATGCTACACTTTCTATATCTATGGAATGAATTTAAATGTAAGAGTCCTATTTTGATTTGGGCTTTCATAAAATTTGAAATATCTTTACAGGGTTGTTCAAAATTCTACTATTGTAAAACTCTTAGAAGAGAGATGTATATGCCTTTTTAGTGGTATATTTGGAAAAGAATGTCTTGGTACTTTCTCTTCTCTGTTATATTGTTATATTGTTTTTTGCTGATATTTTATCCCACTATACACACAGTCTATCTTTCAGTACATAAGACTTTCTCGTTGTGGAAAATTTGTTTAACTGTGCAAAGATGTGTTGCTGTTTTTTACCTGATTTGTAAAAGGCGCCTTATTGTTCTAATAAAAGCTAAACAGCCAATAGCAAGGGAAGAGCTATAGCAAGGGAAGAGCTATAGGTGGAACTTCTAGGCAGGGAGAATAAGTAGGAGGAGGAATTTAGGATGAGGTGGTGTCAAGGGAGAAGAGAAAAGAAAAGGAGACAGTGGGTAGATTGGCCAGATAGACAAACATGGAAGATGCAGCAAAGTCAGACTTACAGAATAAAGAAAGTTAAAAAGCCCTGAGACAAACCGTAGATGAACAAAAACAACTTAACATTAAAAAGCTAGTGGGGCAAAGCCTAAGCTAAAGCCAAGCATTCATAATTAATAATAAGTCCCCATGAGAAGCTGATAGGAGGCCCAAAGAAAATGCCAACTACACTTTCTCTTTGGACATATACCTTAAGAAGTTCTGTCAGTCCTTGCACATGATAGTATATTCTCAAACCTAAACATTATCCAGGTCTAGGTGGTGTGAGTAATTTAGAATTCCTCAAAATATTATATAGACTTTTGACTCCCATTTTATGGACTTTGAAGTATTCTATGATTCAAACTAAGTCAGCAGTGTTTCCTCAAAAAGGTTTTATGAAATTTCTGAAATGATAGATGATTTGTTGTTAACTTATCAACCAAGTGTGAATAATGGATTCTTCTTTTTGCTAATAAATATACTTTGCTTGCTCTCACCACCCGTGTGTGTGTGTGTGTGTGTGTGTGTGTGTGTGTGTGTGTGTGTGTGTGAAAGAGAGAGAGACATGTGCGTGCATATACAAATGATTTCGTAAGCTTCACTACTTTATGTTTTGCAAAATTAACTTTAGCTGTTACTTACCTTTGGGTGTTAGTGTGATTTTTTTCTTTTAACTATCATTCATATACATTTAATTTTTTGTATGGCATGATATATTGGTTTTACCTGTACCCGCATTATTAGATTGTAAATTCATTGAACAGAGGATCCCTGATTTGTTCAATCACTACTGCCCATGATACTTAGTACTTTGAATATGAATAAAACAGTTACGATAAGCAGGTAGTCAAGATGGTTTTGTGGTTTTTTTTCCAGATTTGGTGCATTTGACTTGTGTGTCTTCTAAAACAGCAAGAGAAGATTTAGAACCAGTAGTACAGAAATTGTTTACTCCATATACAGAAATGGAAGCAGGTAAGAAAATAGGGCAGTTGTGGTGGACAGTTAATGTAACATGATATTCCCCTTAGATATCTCAGGAACTGAACTGAGCCTGAATTAAAGTTCAGTATTTTAATTTTTTTATTCAGCAATTACTCCCACATATTTACTAAGGATTTTGAACATAGTCATTGCACAAAGAAAAGATGTGCAGTCTTTATTGTTAAGGGAAAGTACTCACACGTATAGACAAAAACCCCATAATTATCAAATGCACATTTATATGCATACATACTCACATGCCTGAGAAAGGGGAAGTACTGTTGGGAAATTTATTAATTAATTTTGGTAGTATTACAGGCACTTTTTCATAGCTATATTTCTTTTGCAGGATTTTTATGAAAAATATATAGTTCTTTATAAAATGTGTATTTAACTTTCAAAAGATTAAAATATTAATTGGCAAGTATATAAGTCCTGACTATAATTATCTTTAAAGTGCTATATGCCAAATACTTAGCTTTACAAATTGTATCTGTTTCTGACTCATAGTTAAAGAATACATTTCCACTTTGAACTTTTAAAATCACCTCACCCATAGTACGGTACACCTAGTAGCTCTGAGTGGAAAAAAATATTGCATATATAATATGTGAGTGATCAAAAATATAATGTGATAACTCTTCTTCATGTGTGTGAAGTAAAGGTCATTTTCATTAAAGCATTTTTGTGTTCTCTAGATCCCTTTCACTGTCTTCCCTTCTTACATTGCAGTGTTCTTTAAATGATACATTTATTCAGCCAGCCATTTGTTTTTATTCCTAGTGTTTATGTATTTCGGTCTCCTGTGTGTTGACTACTTTCTTAATGCAGAGATGATACAGAGTGAGATATAAACATTTACATATAAGACACAGTGTTCTATTTATACCTGCTAATGTCATTTCTTTTTGAAACCCCCAGTTGTATAAATTCTTTCAATCTGAAAAACTTCATTTGAGTTTAAATTTAGTCTATTTATGTATATTTTTCATTTGAATGTATTGTATGAATGTTTGAGTTACTGTTAAAATTTTGATTTCTAACTTATAATATATACAACCATATTCCTCAAACTAATGTAGAGTCTTCAGGCTTTAATTGCATCTGTATCTTGCTCATAACCAAGATTATCATTTTCATAGTGTCTCCGTTATAATTGCAGTTTATCACTGTGCCACACAATACACTTAACATATCATTATTCCTCACTTTTTAACTACATTTAATTTTCTGGTTTACAAAATCAAGCTGGCGGAAATTGCATGTTGGCTAACTAGCATCCACTAGCCATTTTAGATTTTTAAGATTAACCTTAATGGTTCAAGTGATCCCGGTTTGAAATGATGTATTGTTTGGAACCCCAGGGAAATTCTTTAGCAAGAACTATGCCAGAGGGGTCCTCAGGTGCACCGAGGCACTGCAGAGCTAGTTTGCACTGACACATAGGCCTTTTGATCATCAGGATGAGGTAGTGGTCATATTTTAATTAAAATGTCAGAACAAATACTGTTGGAGTTATTGAAAATGAATCACCAGATAAAGTGAGCACTGGGCCATGGCAGGTCAAAGAGGCAAAGTCACCTGCAGAAGAGAACTCAATTCATTTTCCTGCCTAAATGAGGGAGAAGCAACTTTGCGAGCAATATGAACTTTTCATACATTAAAACACATTCTTCTCTTGCAGAAGCTTGTATGTCTACAGGCTTTTATTGTCTTTTGGTTATTCGGCAATCATCTGAAACTTTGTGGTTTAGAGCATTGTCAATAATTTTGCTGAAACATGTAGCAGCAGAAGAATGCTGTGTGGCCTTGTTTGTTTCTCCATGGAGTTCAACATTCTCCATGGTGTTGTGCATTCTGAACCTTTATGAAAATTAGCCTCATCACCTTACAGGAAAGTTCGTTTCCTACAAAGGATGGTGTTCTCTTTACCACTATAAGACTGATTGACAGTGTGTGTTTGGGGGTGGCGGGCAGATTGTGGTAAGGTTCTGAAGACAGTACCTTATCTTTCTTACCTTTCAGGTTCATGAATAGCAGCCAGAAGTATTCAGACTGTCCTCTCCAAAGAAATCATTGTACTCATACCCACCCACCAGGCTCCTTTAAGCACATCAAATATCTCTAAATCTTTGTCTATGTTTTAGTCTAAAGAAATATCAGATGATTTATGCTTAATGAGCCTCATTCTATAGGTTAAAAAATCAGGTCATTTCTTACAATTCATTTTCTTGTGTAGGGTCTAGGTTATCCTTGTAAACATTGAGAGGTGATAAACTGAGTGCTATGCGGGTCTCACTGACAGAACTGTACTGATTTCTTATTTTACCCAGAAATAGAAGATTTTTCAATACAAGGTAAAGCCGGAATTTTGTTAGTACAGTATGTATAAATGTCTAGAATCTAGTATTATCATAGCATCATCTTCTTTTTATTTTTTTAACCCTCCAATCTGCCTGGTTTGTCGAGTTGCCTCATTTATTGTAATCATTTCTATCTCTAAGAGCAATGCTTCCTAAAAACAAATTCCCTTCACAGATGAGTGTGAATTTGGTGGCTTGTAAGGATATTAACTGTACCAGGAAAGCAAATGCCATATCTTAATTTCTGGTTTTTATTTCACTTTTATATTCCAGGGCTTATGCAGCTTAGCTAAATGATTTTACTTGTTTCCTGCCCATGGCATGTACCTAGAAACATATCTTGCTTTTATTTGGTTTGCCTTCACTGATTTTCTTTTCCCTCTTTATTCAGTACATACACTTGTTTAATTACCACAAAATCTTATTCTCTGTCACCTCTTACCTCCTTAGTCTAGCATGTCATCTAATTGATCTGATTGAAATGAGCTATTATTTAGTAGCTTTAGTAGTTTTAACTATTATTTGCTTCAGAGTGTATATTGTTTTTCCAGCGCTCTCTCTCTCTCTCTCTCTCTCTCTCTCTCTCTCTCTCTCTCTCTCTCTCTCTCTCTCTCTCTTTCTATCTCTATCTCTCTGTCTGTCTCTCTCTCTCTCTCTCTACCTCCAGCTGACCTCCAAGAAAGATGAAGCAATTACATGTCTCTTTGAAGGTTCTAAGGTCAAAGCTTGATGGCTCCCTTGTATCCAGACCATTGATCTTCAGACTATGTCAATTTTCACTTTCAACAGAGTTGCTTGTTAAAGCCTTAACCTTTGTGAAATCTCTTTCCTAAAATCTGTTGAACTATTCATTTCAGCTGTCTTGTATTGAATGAAAGCTGTCCTCAAAGGCAGAGAACACTTATGAACTAGAAGATAGGTTCACCTAATATTTACCTAGATATGACCTGGGTCCTACTAAAGACCTTCCACACCTTAGCTCATTTTCCTGCTGTGGTGTTTGATGCCATTACACATAGATGGCATTTCCCCGCAGTGTTTGATACATGATGCAGAGGTTGTGTTTTTAAATAAATTCTCACAGTTTAGTGAAGCTAAACTCACTAGTCAGTTTAATAAAACTCAAATGAAATTAACTATGAAATACCGTTTTTTTACAGCTTTTGTTAATAAGTAGTTTTTGCTGTGTAATGTGTCTCTGCATGAATTAGTGGTCCCTCAGACTCAGATCTTAGCATCAGTATGAGATTCATTTCCTTGGGGCTGGAGAAAAGAATCAGTGGTTAAGAATTTCTGCTCTTCCTAAGAACCTGGCTTCAATTTCTAGTACCCACATGGCAGCTCACAACTGTCTCCAGTTCCTGAGGGATTTTTATGCCCTATTCTAGCTTCTGCATGCAAGTGGTGCACAGCCAAACTCCATTCAAACCACTACCTACCCACATAAAATAGACAATTATGATAAATTGAAGACTCCTTATAAGAGCACTTCTTTCATTCAGTTCCTTATCTTTTCACCCTAATAATTATGAATTATTCAGGGCAAATAAGAAAATATGGCATATAGCTCTTCCTACAGAAGACGTATTTAAAATTATATAAAATTTATTTATTCTGGGGCCTAGGGCATTCTTATTAATTGAATGATATATTTAGCTAAAATTGTTCTACATTGTTTACTAATTCAATAAGAACAGTAATTGAATAATTACAACTTTAACATTTTCTTGATGATTCACACAGTGTCTCACAGAGTTTCACTACTGTCATAAACATTCCTTATTACCATTATGCAGACTTTTGACTTTTTGGCAGAGTTGGGCTAGAGAAAACTATAATCGATACATGTGATAACAGCAGTTTTTTCTGTCTTCAACCAAAGAAATTTTAATTATAACATTTTAAAAGAAAAGAGGCAGAGGAATGATCATTACTATAATAAGAAATGAGCTGTAGGAATTGAGATTAACAAGATTGAACCTTTCTATAAACACTTTATATTTTCATTATGGAGAATATTACCAAAATGCATTCATAAATTATTTAGTGAATGTATTTTGTGTGCCAGGCCCGGTATTAGAAGAAAATGTTAAATACAGGGGAATCAGAACTAAGTCTACTCCATCTGTATGTCCCCAGATCTTATGTCATTGCCTGACATGCATAATGGATGCCTGCTGCTCAGAGAGAACTTGTACTCACAATGACATTTGACCTAGTGGCCTCATTTTTTTGCAAATTCCTTTTGTTGTTTGCCATTAATTTTGTGATCCAGTAACATAAAGCATTAGAGTGAGAGTTAGTATATATCATTTTAAATTCTGTATGTGTTATTTTAAGTAGTATTTTTAAAGCTATTATTCATATGCCATAAAATTTTCACATTTCAGGTGAAGCTCCAAGTTTTAAAAGCTATAGTCATAGAACTGTCTAAACAGCTGTAGAAACAACTGTAAAACACTTCTGATTCTGCCCTCTGCCAAAAAATTTTCATATCCATAAATAGCCACCTGACCTTTGTCCCCAACCCCCTTCCCTGACCTCTAAAGTACCCATTAATTCCTATCTCTATTTGCTATGCTTTTGTTTATTCTGAATAATATCAGTTTATATGATTGTCATCTTATATGTATATACTATTAAGTTACTATATAGCATTAAGTTGTTTTTCTATCTGAAACATGATTTATGTTATCTTTTCACTTAGGGGAGATAAATTAAGGGTGGCTAGGATTGTAAGAACTTTAATATTTTGTTGCATCCATCCATTCATTCATTTTTGTGTGCATCTGTAGGCATTGGTCAGAGAACAATTCAGGAATTGTTTCTCTCCTTCCATCATGTGAGTCCCACACATGATGGCACACCAGTCTTCAGGCATAGTAACCAGGGTCTTAACCTGCTGAGCCATCTTGCTAACCTTTGAGAATAATTTCTAAAATCTACCTTCTTCTGGACTGAAAAGATTTCATTGTGTGAAATGCCATATTTCACCTTAGAGTTTGTGTTTTCACATTCAGTAATTGCTTATTTATTTATTTTTGTATTGAGAAAAGCAAGAAAAAAAAAACAAGTTTCCACCTCCTCCCAGCCTCCCATTTCCCTCCCCCTCCTCCCACCCTTCTCCCCCTCCTCCCACTCCTCTCCCCCTCCCTCTCCAGTCCAAAGAGCAGTCAGGGTTCCCTGCCCTGTGGTAAGTCCTAGGTCCTCCCCCCTCCGTCCATATCTAGGAAGGTGAACATCCAAACTGGCTAGGCTCCCACAAAGCCAGCACATTGCGTACAATCAAAACCCCGTGCCATTGTTCTTGGCTTCTCATCAGCCCTCATTGTTCACCATTTTCAGAGAGGGGCATTTTATACTCATAACAGGAACAGTTCATCAGGATGAAGTCTCAATCCTGAATATCTATGCCCCTAATATAAAAGCACCCACATACAAAAAAGAAACATTGCTAAAACTCAAGGCAGCCATCAAACCGCACACACTAATAGTAGGAGACTTTAACACTCCTCTCTCACCAATGGACAGGTCAATCAGACAGAAACCTAACAGAGAAATAAGAGAATTAATGGAGGTAATGAATCAAATGGACTTAACAGACATCTATAGAACATTCCACCCAAATAGGAAAGAATATACCTTCTTCTCTGCAGCTCATGGAACTTTCTCAAAAATCGACCACATAGTCGGTAACAAAGCAAACATCCACAGTTACAAAAAAATATTTGTAACCACCTGTGTCTTATCAGATCACCATGGATTAAAGTTAGAATTCAACAACAATGCTACCCGCAGAAAGCCTACAAACTCAGGGAAACTGAACAGTCAACTACTGAACCATACCTGGATTAAGGAAGAAATAAAGAAAGAAATTAAAGTCTTCCTGGAATTCAATGAAAATAAAGAAACAACATACTCAAACTTATGGGACACTATGAAAGCAGGCCTAAGAGGAAAGTTCATAGCACTAAGTGCCCACTTAAAGAAAACAGAGAAAGCTCACATTGGAGACTTAACAGCCCACCTGAAAGCTCTAGAAAAAAAAGAAGCAGACTCACCTAGGAGGAGTAGAAGACTGGAAATAATCAAACTGAGGGCTGAAATCAACAAAATAGAAACACAGAAAACAATCCATAGAATCAATGAAACAAAAAGCTGGTTCCTGGAGAAAATCAACAAGATTGACAAACCCCTATCCAAACTAATCAAACGGCAGAGAGCGAATTTGCAAATTAATAAGATCAGAAATGAAAAGGGGGACATAACCACAGACACAGAGGAAATTCAGAGAATCATTAGATCTTACTACAAAAGCCTATATGCCACAAAACTGGAAAATGTAAAGGAAATGGACACTTTTTTAGATAAATACCATATACCAAAGTTAAACCAGGACCAGGTGAACAATCTAAATAGACCTGTTAGTCACGAAGAATTAGAAGCGGTTATCAAAAACCTCCCTACCAAAAAAAGCCCAGGATCAGATGGTTTCAATGTGGAATTCTATCAGAACTTCCAAGAAGAGCTAATACCTATACTCCTTAATGTATTTTACAGTATAGAAACAGAAGAGTCATTATCAAATTCCTTTTATGAAGCTACAGTTACTCTGATACCAAAACCGCACAAAGACTCAACCAAGAAAGAGAATTATAGACCAATCTCACTCATGAACATCGATGCAAAAAGCCTCATCAAAATACTGGCAAACTGAATCCAAGAACACATCAGAAAAATTATCCATTATGATCAAGTAGGCTTCATCCCAGGGATGCAGGGCTGGTTAAACATATGAAAATCTATCAATGTAATCCATCATATAAATAAACTGAAAGAAAAAAATCATATGATCATTTCATTAGATGCTGAAAAAGCATTTGACAAAATTCAACATCCCTTTATGATAAAAGTCTTGGAAAGATTAGAGATACAAGGGTCATACCGAAATATAATAAAAGCTATATACAGCAAGCCGACAGCTAACATCAAATTAAATGGAGAGAAACTCAAAGCCATCCCACTAAACTCAGGAACACGACAAGGCTGTCCACTCTCACCATACCTCTTCAATATAGTGCTTGAAGTTCTAGCAATAGCAATAAGACAACATAAGGGGATCAAGGGGATTCGAATTGGAAAGGAAGATGTGAAACTTTCGTTATTTGCAGTAATTGCTTATTTATAAAAATATTTTCTATAAAGTCTAATCATGACTTTGTTCGTATTTGGCCATATAGTATAATAAATTATGATTTTCAATTTGATAAAATTTATTTTTACTTCCAGAAAATGAACATATTGAAAAGCCAAGGATTCTATGGGCACTGTATTTCAATATGAGAGATTCATCAGATATCAGCAGAGATTGTTATAATGATTTACCATCCAACGTTTATGTGTGCTCTGGCCCAGACTGTGATCTAGGAAATGATAATGCAGTCAAACAGGTACGGCATGGCATTTCTTAGTTTTGTATTAAAAAAATTGATATACTGGGATAAGTGAGTGGTTTTTATCCTCCTGGGTAGAGGGGAAAGAAAGTAGTAAAACATCTTTCTTTTTCATTTAATAATCATTGGCTTTTTGTCTGTGAACTACATTGCTACCTTAAATACTCTATCAACTGTTTTACCTCCTTAAATTGTATAAGGAATTATAAAGGCTTATTTATGAGAACTACTTTGAGAATAAATAATGAAAATTTTAGAAATATATATTGCTAAAATGAATTTGAAATGCCAATATTCTTAAATATTGCTTCTAATAATTATTGGATTATTGGTGCATATTTAAAAAAAAAATGTTGTTCTCCAGGAGCCTAAGCCATTTCCAGGAAGGTTAGAACAAGCAAAGTATGTAAGATTTTTTTTCTTTTTCTTTTTGTTTTTTTTTTTTTTTCTTTTTCATGACAGGGTTTCTTTATGTAGCTTTGCAACCTGTCCTGGAACTCACTCTGTAGAACAGGGTGGCCTCAAACTCACAGAAATCCACCTGCCTCTGCCTCCTGAGTTTTGGGATTAAAGGTGTTCGCCACCAACGCCCGACATATGTAAGATAATTTTACAATGGTCTCATGCATTTCTTAATCTTGGAGAGAATGAGTAATGTAATTTTACGTAATGAACATAACACCATTAATGTTTTGACTCAAGCCAGTGCCTCCAAAGCTGCTGTTATAGTTGCCAAAAAGTATGTTAAATCCATGTGGACAATTCTAGGTAGAACGGTGAAGAAGGGCACACTTATTTTAGATGCCAAAGGTACACTCTGATTCCAGTAAGCAGAAGATTCTTAGGACATATTTTAAAAACCCCCTTTTTACCTTGATAGGAAGAAAAGAAGAGAAGGCATGCTTTTAGGCAAATGTGGAAACTTTTGTCAGGTCCTTTTGGTACTTTCATCATTTAATCAACAAGTCAATAATTTAATGATTTTTAGTAAATTTTGTTCTTCGCAATTCCATGTATGTACTTTGTGTGTTCTAAATACTCTTTTACCCATTCCTATTTCCTTGCCAACCATATCAGTAATCTCCCCCTACACACACACACACACACACACACACAGAGAGAGAGAGAGAGAGAGAGAGAGAGAGAGAGAGAGAGAGAGAGAGAGACTGACTGACAGACAGACTGACAGACACCCTACAAATCTCTTTCCCTGTTTACCAGCTTTGGTTTTGTTTAATGCCTCCATACAGTTTAATTAAGGCCAAGTATGTAACCGTAATTTCAAAACTAACCTTGAGGACCTGAACTAATTAGTATGCAATGGGTTACTCTGCCTCCCCAGTCCTAGAATCTATTGGTTACCAAAATATATGCAGTAAGTGTAGATCACCTTCAGTCCCATCTCCTTCTCTGTACCTGGCAGTTATGAGGGTCTAGCTTCTGTGAACACAGCTGTTATGAATTCATGGTTGCCATGGCTATATCTTTCTTACTTAAAAGATGGTATTTCATGTCTTCTTTCCACCCCCTTGTCAGCAGTTTCCTGAGTTTTATGGAATGTGTGTATGTGGGTGGGGGTGACTCTAAGACCACAGAAGACATGAATTCAATTATATTCTCACCAGTAGCAGCGATCTTTTAGTACCAAGTAGTTTTATTGAATCCTTAAAATACCCTTTCGTCACAGCAATAATGTATGAATAGTGATGCAGCCTTTTGCTATAATTTTATAAGTCATCATTAGAGCCTAATATTGGTCTTTGAAAATTATGCTAGACCCTGAGCAATGTCACACAAACAGGGAATTACATCTCGTACCCATAGCTTAAGATTTGCATTTATGTCTTAAGCTAATAATGTTGTTTTTACTTAGTGACCCATTTTTCTTGAAAGAAGAAAATTTTCAAAAACCCTTTATCTAATTAACTTTGGTTAGGCTGGTATTTTTTCTGAGTAAACAAAACATTGTTTAAACCAAAATAGGAGAATTTTAAAGTAAAGATTTATAATACAAGTGCTTTTATATATATACTGTATACTAGAAGATTACAGTTAAAAGGCAATTTTTCAACACAGTAGTTTGCTTCACAGAAAGGTAACTTTCATGGGTTATATGAAATATAATGAAGAAAACAGCATTAATGTTTAAATACTCACTAACATGTTATATCTTATATCCACTTGAGGAAAAGTATGCTTTCTTTAAAGAGCATCAGTAATATTTATACATTGCCAATTTATTTGGATAAATTAAGCTCTAATTCCAGTATATCATCATGTGATTATATGAGTTACCTATTGCCAACTTCTGTTTTCTAATTAAGGAAAGTATTCATGAAAGCTCTCAGAATATTATCTTGGCTTTGCCTATATAAATTACACAGGCTCCTGCAGTGTTGTAATATATTTCTTTTTCAACTAAAATTCTACATTTTAGCTTTTGGAAATTTTGTTCCTTTCTTTACTTCATATTGCAAAGAGATTGAATATGTGAATCTGACTCTCTTGTATGCATATGTGACAGCTTATGATTCTAAGATGCACTGATGACTTACTAATAATACTTCTGGATCTGACTTTAGAAGCCTCCAGTTCAGTATGCGTAGATCTTAAGTGTTCTAACTACAAATATCCAAAATGATATCTGTGGTTGGTTTTATTTTTAAGTAACATAAAAAGTATTTCGAATCATTATGGCATTTTCAAACAAAACTTAATTGTTGTCACTCTGAGTTTGAGCCTTTTTCCTTAATATACTTTCCAAATTCAAGTGAAAGCATGTTTTATTTCATTTGATTTTGGTAACCATTGTACTATGTATGCCAAGATGTCACTATATATACATACACACACACACACACACACACACACACACACACACACACACACACACACATATCCAACTAAATGGTTAAATTTTTTAAGTATATACATAGGAAATGTTCTGTTACAAAATATGTGTACACTTGAAGCCTACCTAAAAATCAAATTACTTTCAAATCCATATTAAATTAAAACAAATGGCTATGTGGGGTAAAGGTGCTTGCCATAAAAGCCTGACAACCAGAGCTCAAATCCCATAACCCAAGGTAGATGGAGAAAACCAATTCTGGGAAGTTGTCTTCTGGCCTCTACATATGTACAGTGGCACATGTATACACACACGCGCGCGCACACACACACATACACACACACTAAAAATAAATAGTTCAAATCAACTTTAAATGTTTCTATGATTCTGTCATTACCCTTCCACCAAACTCCCAGAATAGTGAAGGTCAATATTTAGGTTGTTCAGCCTGTGTCCTCCTCATTGCAACTTCTCAGCTCTGCCATTAAAGAGAAAACGCAGATATAGATAATAGGTAAACTAATGAGAATTGTGTTCCAATAAATCTTTATTTAAAAAAAATCAAGAGGTAGTCTGGGTTGGTCCCTTGGGCCATAGATGGTCAAGTTTTGACCAAACAGATAAAGCAAGAGATATTCTGGGTTGGACCTTACGGCCATAGGTGATTAACTTTTGGCCAAATAGATGACCTTGCATATGTATTACAGAAAAGAGAGAAGCAGTATAGGAAATCAGTATGTTCTTTAACACCTTAAAATGACTCTTCCTCACCAGTTGCCAAAAATAAAAGCCCCCTATCATGATACAAAGCTTTAACTAACAGTAAGGTGGATTATTGCAACTTGCCACATCTATTATATTTATTATTAGTATCATGTTTGCTATTTTATTCTCTTACCTTGTCCTACTAAACTCAACCACATGTACTGGTTAAAACGTAATTACATAAATTTTTAAAGATGTGATTTTTTTTTATATAATGTCACAAATGTACATACATTTGAAGCTGATGTTCAAAAATTAATTTGTCCTTTCATCCTTGTCTAGGCAGAAACACTCTTCCAGCAAATCTGCCCAAATGAGGACTTCTGTCCAGCCCCACCAAATCCTGAAGATATTGTCTTTGATGGAGACAGTTCACAACAAGAAGCATCAGAATCCACTGTTATATCAGAGACCAACTCGGAGACTCCCAAGGGAAATACAGACCTGGGATACCCAGAGGAGCCCTCTAAGTAGTGGATATGCATTAGACTTACTATCCTAATTTGAGAATTCTTGGCTTCATAGTCCTGATGGATGGAGTATATGAAAACTTAGAAAGCAACAACTAGTAGGCAAAATTACAAAACGAAATGAGTCCTAGAAATCTAAAGGGCAATTTTCTTCAAAGAAAGCATTTCTGGGAAAATAAAACACTTATAAAGCACATTGACTTGCCTATTTGAAGATAACAAACCTGTGAGATTAGCATTCCTGGGAATGTAGCTATGATGTTAAAGGGATCCTATGCATTGTAAGTAATTATGTGGTATTCACATAAATTTGCCACATCTGGAGAATCAGCTCTCATACTTATTTTGTTTATTTGAATTATATTTTCATTCTGGGTATGATATAACAGATAAGAGCATATGTAAATACAATAGAGTAAAGCTAAACTATCATAATCTGGCCAGAAGCCTATATTTGGAGTAAAAGTTGGTTTTATTTTATATGTTAAAAACTGAAAATGTTAATACTAAGGTGTTTAGATGATTTGCTAATCATGATTTGTTAGTAAGTAGTGACTTTGGTGTAATATTATACACACTGGCTAAAGTTTAAAGATGAAACGTAAGAATAGAAGCATACATTTGGATAAGATCAGTGATCCTTCATGATTCTACTAAGTCAGAGTAACGGAAGCACTAACCTTGTTCACAGAACTAATTTTGGTCATGGCTATGCAACTTAAAATATTGGGCAGCTTGTTTAACTTCTTCAGTTTCTGCAGATTTAAAGAGGACTACTGTGCCTAGTGTGTCAGAATAGTTATGAAGCACCATCCTTAGAGTGGCTCCTCTGGAAACACACTGTTTGGAACTTTCCCATTGGTTGACCTGTGGGTAAATATCAAACCAACCTCACGATCACAGTGTTACATGTATTGCGCTAAATTTTTAAAATGCAGCCTGGTGGTGGTGGCACACACCTTTAATCCCAGGACTCGTGAGGCAGAGTGATTGTGAGGATCTCTGTGAGTTCAAGCCCAGCCTGGTCTACAAAAGCTAGTTCCAGGACAGCTAGAACTGTTACACAGAGAAACCCTGTCTCAAAAAACCAAAAAAGAAAAGAAAAAAAATTAAATGCAAGTCTGTTTCCTAAACTCATTAGTAGCAAGTGGATTGGTAGTTTTTAAAGACTTTAAAGTTTTTAAAGTCTTAGAAATATTTTATAAATTCATATTCCTCTTCTGGCAACTAAATATAAGATCATGGAAAACTAAACAGAATCTGGCAGTTAATATACTGTAATACACTCTTTACATGAAAACATGAGGGCTATACAATGGCAGCAAACTTATTTGCAATGCCTGTATTTAAATTTCTCTGAGCTCTGATGGTCTACTTTCTTTGAGCAATAGTTTGGACCTAGAACTGCCTGTAAATAAATAAACAATAAATAAACCCAGTTTCCTGTCAGGGAGCCATGGCTCCAGTGAACAGCACAGAGTTCTTCATGTGCAGCTGGTTCCTGGCCTGGCCAGGTTTCAGAGAAGATCTCAAAGGAAACTCCCAGCAGAGAGTCTTGATAAACAGAAAAATCCAAGGACTGTTGCTCTTGCTGACCCCTTCAGATTGAATTGGATTGAGAACAACAGGGAAAGCGTCCCAGACTCCCAGACTGCTCTTCTCAGGCTGCCTGCACTCCCGCTGTACAGCCCTCTCCTCTGTAGTACCCCTTCCCTTTTGTAATGCCACACAAATCAGGGACAGATTCACATTATGACCTACTTTGTCACAAAGCTTCAGCTCTTCAGTCAGCTGTTGTTTCCTGAAGCCCAACCAGGGCATGCACTAAATGCCAAGTACATACCTGTACTGCACCAGGTATTGGTCCTGCCTCTCCATGCCAGCAATAGAAAAGTTTCTCTTAGATGAGAGTATTAAGTTGGAATACAATCACAGTAAAGTTGCACCAATAAAAATGTTCTACTTTGTTATAATATCTAGAGTTAAGGATTCCTAAATACAGCATGCACATTTATCTAAGGAGACAGGCTCTTAGATAGGCTAAGAGTAAATAGAAACCTCTGGACACTGCAGCTATGTAAATTGTTGAGCAACTGTGTTATGCTTTCATGGCCTAGCTCATACTGTATCTTTTTCCATTCCTTTGATGACATCAAAACCAATTGCTCTTCCTGGCCATTTACTAAATATATTGTTGAAATGCTTAAAGCTCCTTAAATACCATGAAACTTTTTTAAAATTGTGGACAATTCTGCCTATTTCCTGTCACCTCAGAATGCAATACGAAACATTTTAAGAGCTTTTTCTTGTTTTCTTAATTACTGCAAGGAAATACTTGATTTTACGGTTTGAAGTTCCAAACAATACCAACAACAAACATTAAGATAGTGTTGTAAAACCGTAAATCTAAAGTCATATGAAGAAAATTGTTGTTTTACATAATGCAGATGTTTCAGTAATTTCAAATTTGAAAGTTGCTGTAATCAAAGAATTTATACTTGTATGTTCAAAATATTTAAATATGCATGCCTGTTTCTTAGTAACCAAAAATCCTATCATTAATTTAAGTGATTGATATCAGATCCAATAACTAATCCTATGTTGCTTTTGTATATTTTTTCTAATTGGTGTGCCTGCCCAAGAAAACATAAATAATAGATGTCACTTTCTATTTTTCTATAGTAAAATGGCCACCACGTCATGGGTAACTTATAGAATAGTGAAAATTTCTAAAATAATATCAATTATAAAGTTGATTGTTGACAATTATTAATTTCTGACAAGATTGTTTCTAGATTGTTTCTGTCTTCAATTTTGTTTTCTAGTTCCTAAATAGTAGCAATCATTTAAAGAAATTTAAACCATTTTCTTGCAAATTACTTATACACTGTTATTGGTATTAAATAATTTGTCTTTTGCTCAGTAAACTTTCTTATATGTATTTGAAAAAGCATGAATATATAATTGCATACTGTAACAGGGAGTTTTCAGAGGAAATAAAGACTTTCAATGCCTTTCCACTGTAATGGCCTATTTCTTCATGCTTGAATTTTGTATATAGGGTTAGAGATGCACCTCAGTGGTAGAGACTTTGTTTAGCAAAGTCTACCTACTAGAACTTTTAGGAGTAGATAGCCTGTTCTATCGCACTTCCACTCCTCATCCAAGGTTCCCTTAGCTTATAGTCAACTCTGCATGTGTTTGATTATAACTTAATAAGGATTCTTTAATAGGAGACTGACTTAATGTATATTGATTGGTATAAAATACTAATCCCAAAAACAACTTTTAAAAATATATAAGTGTTGGATGGTGGTTGCACACCACTTTAATTCCAGCACTCAGGAGGCAGAGGCAGGTGGATCTCTGAGTTTGAGGACAGCCTGGTCCACAGAGTGAGTTCCAGGACAGCTGGGGCTACACAGAGAAACACTGTCTCAAAAAACATGTGTGCGTGTGTATGCCAATAACTGAAAGGTTGTCTTGGATCTGGGTTACTTTTCTGCTCTTTTACTGCTATTAAATAATTGTCAGCTATGTGTTTTGTTTAATTTGCAGGCTTCTACCTACCCACAGTGGTAAATTAGTATGACAGACTACCAAACTGAGTGGCTTTGGTTTACTTAGCAAAATATTCTAGATACCAATATTAATGTCACTATCAAGCAAAAGTCGATAGTAGTTTATCCTGAGATCACTGTTACGGAGGCTGTGAGGCATACATAAGCTATGGCTTTACAGTACGTTGATCACCTACAGCCTGCTTTCACATCTTAGGAGATCCAAAATGGTTTTTCATGTTTGGTGATGAAAACTGGAAATACTTGATTCTCTTACAGCTTATTTGCAGTAGGAAAAATTATTGCTTCTGTTCTTTGTATGCAGAAATAATTCATTAAGCTATGGTTTTTCTTGAACGAAATAATCAAAGATTACTGATATTTTCTGTCAATTCCAAGTAGTTCATGAAGTTCCTCAGAACATATAGAAAAGCTAATCTAACCAGAACTCTTGCAAAACAAGCAATTTTATCTGTGAGATTATTAATAAATCAAGTCTTTGAAAGCTAAGGTTGATTGAATTTTTAAACAAGTGGCTGTGTATCCTTCAATCACCTTGTTGCTCATAGAGTATTAAGACTCTTTTAAGAAATCCTGTGATATGTTCGAATTCTCTTTAATTATAGCTGTTTAGGACACCAAACAGTTTAACAGTGGCTTTCCGAGTCACATTTTGAAGGCCATGTTCTTCCCATTAATGCAGTTTTGCTATGGACTCCAGTGAGAAATTCCTCCTCTGTGAGTTACTGTGTCTCCTCTATCTGGTGATGAGGATTCAGGATTCATTTGATAGGCCATCAGTCATTAGAACTTGAATCCTAGGAGACTGTAGAGTCTTTTTGCCGATCTCTCTAAGATTTATTCTGGTAATTCCTATCAGTGCTAATAGGACTTGCTCCTGTAGATCTTCTTTCTATAAAGTGGACAATCGAACCCTAAAAGAAAATTAGCTAGTGATATACACTGTCACGGATCAAGAAGTAGCACCGAGTAGCTCTACTCTAGATTTTCCTGTGTGGTGGGAAAGCGTCAGTGTCAGCAGATTGTTGATAGAACCTGAAAGGCTCTTGATTTTCTATTTCCGTTTTAATACATAATAGAAACTTCCTCTTCTAAGAACTACCAATATAAGTTTTTCTCATACAAGAGAAAACTTTTTTCGATTTTGTTTGTTGGTTGGTTATTGCTTGTTTGTTTTTGTTGTTTTAAGCAGTATCTCACAACATATCTCTAGATGGTCTAGAACTTACTATTTACACAAGATTGGCCTCAAACTCACAGATCACCTGCCTCTGCCTCTTCAGTGCTGGGATTAAAGGTGTGCACTACCACATCTGGCAAGAGTAAACGCTCAAATTAATATTTTGAGAAGTTCATACATGAGTACTATATGTCACTTCTGATTCCTCCTAATGCTATGTCTCTGTCCACTCTCAAAATCAGGACATCTTTAATTATTGTTACATATACACACTGCACAACCTACAGAGCCCATTTAGTGTTGCTTATATGTGCTAGCTTGGACCACTTGGGACTGCCTAACCTATCAGAAAGCTCATGCCCACAGAAAACCAATAAATGCCTTCTCATCACTCATTGATAGCCTGTAGCTCTCTATGTAGGAGTGGAACCTTGTGAAATTTACACATTCAGTGTTGGCATGTCAACATAAATATTGGCACAAAAGTGAGTGCGGACACATGGGGAAGTTGGAGGGAGGGGTCACTGCTCTCTAGAAGTGGGACCTGGAGAGAATGGAGTTGATAAATGGGGTGGGCCAGTCTTCTGCACCAATTTTATTCAGAGCATCAGACAATTTATACACTGAGCATAAAGAGAAAACTCATGAATAATGTTCTCGTGGGTTCAAGTTGTGTACAGTTG